AAAAAAAAAAAAAGAAAGGCATTACAGACCACCAAGGTTGCTACTAGGTGCCACTCTGTGCACAGCAGAACAAAACACTGCCCAGTCCGGCGCCATCCTCACAATTATTCTTATGTTGGAGTCTGTGTTGCAGCCCCTGTGTCCATCTGTCTCACTGTGGCCTTCCTTGTTTCTTGACCAAGCATGATGCCCTTCTCCAGGGACTAGTCTCTCCGGACATCATGTCCAAAGCATTACCCAATAGTAATCAGATATTCCTCTGGGCCCAAGGTTGGTAGGAAACTGGGAACCGGTCTCATATTTTGGGTTCCTTATTTCCCTTCAGCTTCCAAGTTTGAGTTTGTTGCTGTGTGGTCTCAGGCTCTGTGTATTTGTCAGGAATCCCAGGTCAGTGTTGCTGGATCCTTGTGGGGACATCCGATCAGGAGGCACATGATTGAAAGCTCTTTTTATTACTACAACTATTCAGTGTGATCATTTGCTGGAGGCAGGTGTGCAAACAATTTTAATGCTCTTTCCATGGAGTTTTCTTTCTGGAACTGGTGCACCTGGGGTCTTGTTGGCCCAATTTTCCACCAGTATATTTTTTTAGAGTCTATAGTTAAGGGAGGGAGGGGAGCCAAACTTTTTATTACACAAGGGGGTCACCCTTCCCCCCCCAAAAAAAAAACACGAAAAAAAGGCTCCATTGGGCAGAGCTTTCATAGTACTCATTTTTACGGCCAGAGCAACTCACTTTGAGTTAGTGCACCCAGTGGCGTTACCTGGAAAGTTCCTGGTCACAGTGAGTTTTGTCGTGAAAGCAATTTTACTTAAACCTCATTTTGTGTGATGGCTGATTTAACAGAACACCATTCGTCATTTAAATTTTGTTTCCTGCTCGGGAAAAATGCCATAGAAACTGTTGTGATATTGAACACAGCTTACAAGGACAGCTCTATGGGAAAAACTCAAGTATATGAACAAGTGTTTTTCTTGTTTTCAAAAAGGTAAATGTCAATTGATGATAAATCTCATTCTGGAAGTTCGTCAACATCCCAAACGTATGAAAATGTTTGTGCACTAGTGCTCGAATACCTACGATACACCACTGAAGAGATGGGGAAGTTATCTGGATTATCTTGAAGCTCAGTTCAGTGAATTTTAATGGAAGATTGGGGAATGAGAAGGGTTGCTGGGAAATTTGTGCCTTGGGTTCTGGCTGACCAAAAAGAGCGTCGACGAGAAACATGCCGTGCTTTGAAAGAACAGTTCTGAAGTGACCCAAGCTTTTTCTCCCAAGGTCATTACTGGTGACGAGACATGGTGCTATTCTTACAACCCTGAAAGCAAGCATCAATCAAGCCAATGGAAGACATCATCATCACCTCGCCTGAGAAAACCTAAAATCAAAGATCAAGATGATGTTCGTTTGTTTTTTTGATGTGAAGGGGATAGTGCATTTGGAGTTTGTTCCACCAGGTCAGACTGTTAATCAAGCTTTCTAATTAGAGTTTCTGAAAAGATTGCATAACAGTGTGCGGCTAAAAAGGCCTGATTTGTGGCTGACGGGGCACTGGTTTTGCCACCATGACTGTGCACTTGCTCACACAGCCATCTCAGTGTGCTCAGTTTTTGGCAAAAAGAAAAAACCAGCATGTCTCTCTTGTCCCACACAACTTACTTACCCAACCTCGATCCATGCGACTTATTTTTGTTTCCATGAATGAAGAGGGACATTAAAGGACAGTGATTTGACAAAGAAGAAGAGGTGAAGGAAAAATCGAGGGAGGTCCTGTCAGCCATTCAAACATGAGCTTGAAAAATTTTTCCAGGACTGGAATCGCAGATATGACAAATGTGTTAAGTGTAATGGAGAGTGCTTTGAAGGTGATAAGGTTGTTTTGTAAAAACACTTAAATACATAGCTTTGAAAGAAAAATTCCAGTGTTTTGGGGTACTCTCCAGAATCATATGGGGGTCCTCAAACTTTTTAAACAGGGAGCCAGTTCACTGTCCTCAGACCCATTGGAGGGCTGGACTATAGTTTAAAAAAAACTATGAACAAATTTCTTTGCACACTGCACATATCTTATTTTGAAGTAAAAAACAAAATGGAGCAAAAACACCCAGCTGGCTGGATAAATGTCCTCGGCAGGCTGCATGTGGCCTGCAGGCCATAGTTTGAGGATGCCTAGGATACCTATGGCATTATATAATCATATATATATTGTTCTTTAATATATAACCACTTATATGATATGATATTGTATAATCATATGTATTTGTATGTGTGTATGTATACACACACACACACACACACACATATATAGGTGTAGGATGTGATAGCCATTTTATTCTTGTTTAAAAACTTGCTGTAAACATGGAATGAGAAGGTACTGGAATTTCGCCGCTTTGTGGAGTCCCCTTGTGGTAACAGGTGCAGATGTTTGAGTGAGCCAGGGCTGGTGTTACAGAGCCCTGCAGTGCCTCTCTGGAAACATGGCAAGCAGGGCCCCAGGCAAGCCAGCCTGCGGCCCTCAGCGGATGGCCAGAGTGCCTGGGCCTGGTCTTGAGGGATCTCGGCCTCCGCTGGACCCCGGCCGGCTGGTGCATCTCAGGCGGCACCTGTGTGCTGAACATTAAGCTGGTGCTTTCCTCCCCCTTCAGTGCGCTCTTCCTGCTGGCCGCCGCAGGGTGCCTGCCCTTCAACGACTCCCAGGTGAGTTCACACACACTCGAGGTGCCCTCAGTTGTCTTTTCCTCTCTGAGGCCTGTGTGTCTGAGCAGGATCTCCAAACTCTGAGAATCCAGGCTCCCAGAGTCTGCCAGCCTGAGTCCCTTTGGCCCAACCATCGGCTCCTCCCAAAGACATGGCAGTGAGCCCACTGAGCACTTGCCCCTGCTTTCAGTATGCATTTGGTAAACCTGCATGTCAGTGCCCAGGCTGCCCGGGCTCCAGGCATTGAGGCGCCCGGGGCTGCCTCTGTGGGGTGGCTGTCACTTTGTTATCCTGAACCGAAGTTGAGTTTTTCTCCATTAGCGTGAAGAGCCATTCCTGGGGTCATTCCCTAATGGGCTTCTTTTCTTTGCCCCTCAGGTATTTCTTAAGTCCCCACCACGCGTTAGGTACTGAGCCAGGCCCTGGGGCCATGGAGGAGAAGACACAGTGTCCCTGTCTAGGCAGAACGGAAGTCGGGTCTACTTAGAGTCAGGTGGAGGGGGCAGCAGAGCAGATGATAGGACCTGGCAAGGCCAGTGCTGTGCCCCAGGGAGGTATGGATGCTGCCAGGCTCCAAAGACTTGGACATTCGGATAATTCACAGCTACAAGGAGCCGTGTGTGCCTGACACTGTGTTCATTCAAATGATCTAATTCTAGTTCCAGTCGCACAGGAGATAGATGGGGCTTTTGACTCGAGCCCATAGTCACCCCTGGGAGACTCACGGGCAGTTCTACCCTGTCCTATAAGCCCGAATTGACTCGGTGGCAGTGCGTTTGGTTTTGGTTAGTTCCCGTCACACAGCTATTTCCTAAGGGCAGGGTCTGTTATTCTGTCCACTTGTAGCTAAAGAATAACGGGGTCCAAAGGCACCAGCTGATGCAGAAGCAGAGCTTGTAGTATTTAACCCAGATCTTTCGGATTTTGTCTGTGGATGGGACACACAGTTCACATGTTTGGCAGCTGCCCACAGTGTAGAAGGCTCAGGTCTGCCCAGAAGTTCTCTAGAAACAAGGCCTGATGATTCAGTTTAGAAAAAACCCCACCATTGAAAACTCTGGAGCACAGTTCTTCCTCTGACACCCAGGGAGTAGAATAGTGATGAGTTGAATTGACCCCCACCTTTTTGTCTGTTGTTGGGGGCTGTGGAGTGGATTTTGATGCACGAGACAGAGTGGCACTGCTCTGTAATCTTGATAGGACCACATCACCAGGACTTTCTCCCGTGGAGCTGTGGGTGGCTTGGAACCAGCAGCCTTCCAGTTAGCAGCTGAATGCTGAACTGTTGTATCACCAAGGCTCCCTTTAGATGCTGCTTACTTGCCCTAATAGGAGCCCAGGCAGCATAGTGGGTTACTCTGAGGCACGACTAACCACAATGTCAGCAGTTCAAAACCACGAGCCGCTCTTTGGGAGAAAGGTGAGCTCTCCTGCCCCTGCATAGATTTACAATCTTGGAAACCCACAGTAGCAGCTCTGCTCTGGCCTATAGGGCTGCTATGAGGCAGCATCAATTCAATGGCAGTCAGTTTGGATTTTTTTTTTTGCCTCTACTTGACCTCAGTCTTGAAGAATGAGGGGAAGTTAGTGGGGCGAAGACACTAGGAGTGGATAGTCCTGATGGTGTCACAAATGTTTCACGGTCCCACTTTATTGTGTCAGCCCTGTTCTAGTTCCTGCCTTCTGCAGGGGACCAGCCTCCCTACAACCCAATGGGTCTAAGAGGTGGTTGTGTAATTGAGGGGTAAATTAAAGAGACATCAGACAAGATAAAGCATGCAAGGGCTCACCTTCACAGTTATGACTTTATGAGCCAGGTCTGCGCAGAGAGAGTGAGTAATGTAATTTTAGGAGTTTATATAATCTGGGGTGTGCAGGCCATGGTAAGCACATATGTCACAGGGAGGGGTTGTACAATAGGCATACAGGTAACAGGAGGGGGACAAGCTAGGGGTGTATACACAATAGGAAGGGGGTGCACTAGGGGCACACATCTGACAGGAAGGTATACAGTAACAAGATGGCAGCCTAACCTTGGTCGCCCCTGAGTTGGCTTGACCATAGGAGTCTTTGAGCTCTCCCTCAGGAGAACAATCCGTTATCATTATCAGAAGGGAGTGAGCCCTACTTAGGGCGGGACAGACAATAGGGTCTGATTGCCTTAGATGGCTGATAACCTTCAAGCAATTGACCTGCCAGCGTATAGTCAGTGACCACGCTTGGTGTGTTTGCAAACAGCACCTTAGATTTGGCATTACTATGGGGAGACATCGTGGGGAATAACTTTTAGGAGAATGTGAGTGGGATGCATCTCCATCCCACAAACAGGAAGGTTTCCGTCACGGGAGCCTTGGCCTCCAAGACTCCATGTATGAATGTTGAGTTTATCTGAATACACTTTCTTCCCAGTCTGTTTCCCACAGCCTTCCACAATCCGTGTCTGTGAGTCAGTGTGATAAACAGAGTCAGTTAAAGATGGAGTGTCTGGTGGCTGCTAGAGGAGACTTGGTGGTGCAGTGGTTATGGGTTGGGCTGCTAACTGCAAGGTCAGCAGTTCAAAGCCTGCAGCCACTCCTTGGGAGAAAGACAGGACTTTCTACTCCAGTACAGAGTTACCATCTCGGAACCCACAGGGGTAGTTCTACCTTTCCCTGTGGGGTTGCTGCGAGTCAGCATCAGCTCCATGGTGGTGTGTGTGGTTTGTTGAGTTTGGAGGCTACAAAGTCCTGCAGAGAAAAAGAAGGATGGTGTGAAAAGGAAGGCTGAGTTGGAAGGGGGGATTGATGCCTGGGGAAATGCAGGAAAGTTCTCATGGGGAACCCCGGGGGATATGACAAACGTGACTGGAGGGATCGATGTGCCCTGTCACTGGGATTTTCCTCTGGAGTCCCTGGGGAACTGTTGCATGATTTTCAGCAACAGATGATGCCCCCAGACTTGGCTTTGAGAAACACAGTCTGGTGGCAGTGTGGGGATGGGGTGGTGGTGCTGCGGGCCCAGTCCTGGCAGGAAGGTGCTGGAAAGCAGAGGGGACTGGCTCCAGGCCCTGAGCATCGAGTTTTGGCCCCTTGCTTGGCACCTGCCATGGAGCACCGACTATTAGAGATTCTGCTGACTGCATTTGTTCCATGTCTATCTTACTTACACTCTCCCCTTCTCTTTGTAAAATCTTGTGTTACAGTTTGACCCAGATGGATATTTTTGGGCTATCATCCACTTATTCTGTGTAGGTAAGTTTGGAAAGAATGTTTGCTTGTAGAATTAAGGATTCTTCATTAAACTCAGAGTATGTCCATTTTTAAGTGATCCTGGGCAAAAAGAGAATTAAATATAAAGCACCAGGGCTATATATATTTGTGTGTATGTATTCAATTGTACTACCCTCTCCCTTCCAAATATTTTTCTAAGTAGTTCTCATGTTACTGTAAACTTATAAGCAAAATGGGTTTACACACCAGATTAGGTGTGGTTGGCAAAACCATGAGAGACCATCCATACATTGTTTGCTTAAAAGTACACTCAGTGGGCTTTGTCTGCTTTAGAGTTTTCACCCATGTTTCCATTTCCAATCTCATTTCCTCTTCTTCATGACAGACATTAACTCCTCATGGCTTGGGGCTTACATCCTCGGCCCGGCTTGTGCATGCTGCTTGGTCTTCTCCAAAAACAGTGGGGGGATATCGGTATGTTTGGGTCAAAAACTGTTTCTTTCAGCAGTCTATCTAGAAAAATCAATGAATGCCTTAAACGCAAGGGCCATCCACCTTCATTTCAAGCCCCATGTTAAAAGTTTCCCGTTTATAGTCTGGGTGGAAACGTGGAGCCCAGGTACTGTTACACAAAGTTCAGAAGTCCCAGGTGTTTCTCACATGCATCTTTTCAAGGGCATCTGTGGGATCCGTCTGTTGATCGCTCAGCTCGCTGTTGCCCAGAGCTTCTCGAGGGCCCCTCAGTACTGAAATGCTCCATTTCAGAGGGTCATGGAGTTCTCACTCTTGAGGGACATGTACAAGCCTGGAGGGGTCGAGCAGCGGCCCCTGGGGGGACCCTGGGGACACAGCCTCCATCTGGCCCCTGGCAAGGAGGCAGCTTATGGCACAGAATCCTGCATGCACTGACATAGGTGGCTTCATTTTCAGGAGCTTATAAGATGCGACGGATGCCCCAGAAGCCCAGTGTGCTAAGGTAAACTTTCAAAGTCTGGTAAGTAAGGCCCATAGTGGCATGGGCTGGACCACAGTGAGGGCAACGGACTCTTCGCGTGGCCTGCCTTCAGTGACTGGCATAAAAGCTTGGACCTCGGCTTGGAATTACGTGGTCAGCTGCTTGGGTCTGAGTGGACCACCTCCAGTTCAGAGGCACAACCCTGCCTCCTGGTGTCCCTGCCCCCTCATGACCTGATTCGGTTAGACCCTGCATCCCCCCCATCAATAGCTCTGTTCTGTAGCTAAAATGAGGCCTTTGTTGCCATTGACTGGCCTTGGTGAGTGCCCGTGGAAAGCTGGCACACAGCCCTTCAGTGATCTGGGACTGCAAGGGCTCTTCTCCTACGACTTCCCTGCGGGGCTGTCCTGCCTGCTGGGAGAGAGAGGGTTACCCCCAAATACCCTCAAATACCCCAAACCCGCAGCTATCGAGGTGATTCTGACCCACATTGACCCTATATAGGATTTTTGAGGCTACAACATTTTACTAGCACAATCTCATCTTTCTCCCTTGAACCAGCAGGTGGGTTTGAACCAGGGACCTTGTGGTTAGCCGTCCACTGAGAATGTGTGATACCTGGTCCTTAGAATAACTTTTTTAAAGTCAGAAGCGACTCAAAGGCGCCTGGCAACAACAACAACACATACCAAAGCAGTGCAGAGAGGATTAGAGCGGTTCCCGAATCAGGTGCCACAGAGCAACGGGCAGTGACAAGGTGCGCGCACCTTTTGCACCTTGAAGAAAGTGGTTTTACAACAAGAAGCCAGAAAGGTGGTCAGATACAAGGCAGGGCATCCACTGACACTTTTAGCTCAACAGCGAGTCACAGTGGTTTTTTTAGTTCAAATAGGTGCCATCCAGAGCCCCTGGGTGGTGCCAACCGTGTACTCGGCTGCTAACAGAGAGGTTGGAGGTGCCTCAGAAGAAAGACCTGGAGACCTGCCTCTGTGAAAGCAGGCATTGAAAACGCCGTGGAGCACAGCTCTGCCCTGACACGCTTGCGGCTGCCATGAATCGAGTCAGTGCAGCAGCACTGGTGTCGGTGTGTCCCAGCCCAAAGCTGGTGCATTCTTAACTGAAGTCCTTGTACGTGAGTCAGGTTGATGGCATTTTTATATGTTAAGTGTGGTAGCCCTAGCAGCCTGTCCATTGGCCTGAGCTGACCGTCCTTTTATTTATTTATGTAAAAAAAATTTTTTTTGACAGTTCCTTTAAAGTGGCAAATGCTCACAGAGAAAGTCATCGGCCACAGGGGACAATGTGCTTGGTTGTAGTCAACTCAGAAATACTTTTAAAAATATGAACCTGGAACAGATTTTGAATATAAACTGCTCTTTGTACTCTTTATTAATAATGTATAAAAGTATGATTTATTCACGATGTGATTTATTAATATGATATGTAAAACACTTCTATATTTCATATGCTTTGTCTTTTTTTTCTCCCCTCAGTGACATTGACCAGCAATACTTAAACTACATATTCAGGTAAAGTATAACTTACATTGTCAAAGAACCAAAGGGAAACTCATATATCATTCTAGATTTTTATTCTAATCCTAGTACTTGATTGGAGACTTCTGGAAAGGCCTCTTAGGTAATATGTGATGAGACCAGAAGTTGTGGAGCCAAATAGCCATCTTGCCTTAAGCCAGGCAAGAGAGAGTTCGGCTGGGACCCATACCACTGAGGGCGGTACCCTTCCCCATGGGACACCGAGTCTGTAAGCTAAGGAGAAGTTTCTTCCCTGGATCCAAACGCCCCTTCTAAAACATGTCCTGGAATTCCTGGCCCCAGTGGCCCAGAGTTTGATACCAGGCCTCCTTGGGTTCATCTTTTGAACTTACTTCCAAGCTCAAGGAGTATCCAGAGGGAGCCTATGGTGGAAAAGAGTGTGTGGAAAGAGAAGGGGCACACTGGGGGCCAGGAGCCAGGGATCGGTCCTCTTATGTGACCATCTTCTGACATGAAACTTCAATGGCCTCAAAAAGTCTACATTTTGACCCGGCCTTCCAAGCTGTTTTGAAGGTCTATTTGTTACGGCAGGGTGACATTCTAGGTTTGATTTATAACTTAAATGTTTAAACACATGGTACTCTTGCCTAACCCCAGCCAAGGATCGAGTTGCCCAGCTCAGCTGGCCAGGCACTCAAGGACCTAGTTGAGAAAGAGAGATTTGCTGTTGGAAACCCAAGTTTGCCTAATGTCGTGGCATCAAGTCAAGAGGACCAGGGTTGGAGCCTTTTCAGCCTTTAGTCATGCGTGCTTCTGGAGGAAGTTCCTCCACTTCAAACATCCAATTGGAGCTGTAGTCTCATAAATCAAGTTCATAAATATCTTGATATTTACTAAGATGCCACTCTGAAAGCAGGATTCCCCACATGTGTGGTTGTGAGCCGCCGTTGTGCTCACCTGAAGTCAATCGTCAGTTCCATTCTGCTCAGACCCACCAGTTGCCTTTTCAGATGGTTTGAAGAATGCAAATTCTCTTGGTTTGTAAACATGCTTTTATGATAAGGTGACCAGATTTTAACATTGGTAAAGCGGGACACCATTGATAAAACTCATATCCTGGCAAAATAGCCACATGGCAGCCGAAAACCATATACCCTAGCTTGTCATGCATTCTTTCCCCAAATCGGGACTTTTAAAAAATGCCGCGGGACACGGGAAAAATTGTTAAAAATCAGGACTGTCCCGCCAAAAGCGGGACGTCTGGTCACCTTATTTTATGACATTGGACCACTTGACACAGTCATTTTCTTCACCAAACTTATAGCCAACTCAAGTGGCAAAGGAGTAAGGGAACGTGGAAAAATTAGTTTTGATGAGCCTCAGCTAATTTCCCCGCCCTCCCTCCTTCCCTCCCTTGGGCTCCTTTCTTCTGGAGGGAGGAAGTGTATTGCCTGCGAGCCGGATGCCTGGGACTTCCTGGCCAAGACTGCAGCAGCTCCCGCCTCAGCCCAGCTTCTCTGTCCAAGTCTTTACTCTCAGTCCAAGTGACGAAGCTGTGTGCATCAGAATGAGGGCCACCATTCGCCTTCCCACTGGCAATCACCATGGAGGGGTCAGCAGCCAGAGGTTTCCAATGGGCCCGATGGATGGTCAGCGGTGTCTGCCAGGGCACAGAATTGGTTTGCTCGCTCCGTTTTTTGAAGCCAAAAAATCATTGAATGCATTGGCACAGATCCGTGCTTTTTGTTTGTGTTTTGGAAGATGTATTTGCTCCCTGACCCTCACTTGAGCCTTTTAAATATTTCTCTTCTGCTCTTAGTTGCCATCCAGTCTGGGTGATCCCCCGTGCAGAGTAGAACTGGACTTCATCTGGTTTTCAGGGCTCTGACCTTTCAGATGCAAACTGGCCAGGTAGCTTTCAGGGCACCTTTGGGTAGGTTTGAACTGCCAGTCTTTTGGTTCAGAGTCAAGCACTTAGCTTTTTGTGCCACTTAGGGATTCCTATTTCTCATGTAGATAAGACACAGGGAAGATGGAGGACAGTGAAGGAAAGAATAAAGAGAACTTTGTAGAAGGCCAAAAATAAAGTGGAGTGTCTAAAAATAGGAATGCTCTGGTTTGTCTTTGGGAAAATGTAGGTAATTCCTAAGGAATTCATATTATAGGACGCATACCTAGCTTCCTTTTTAGTTATTAGTAGGAAATAGACATATGTCTCCTCTAGTCTGTTACACAGAAAATTACCAGGTTGTTACCTGTCCAAACTCTGTGCCCTCCATTTGCAGATGAGATCTTTGTGTATGTCAGCGAGAAGTAGTTCATTTCTTGAGGACATGGTTTAGTTACACAGAAGGAAAATGTGTTGGAATTGGCTTGATCCTCCATCATAGAGACTACGAAGCATGTAGAGATGAGATTTTCCCTCATCTTTCCTTATTTCCCATGAAAGAATGTCCTTTGTTCACTGCTGTGACCTCAGCAAGTACTAGGCACTCAATAAACATTTGTTGAATGAATAGAACAAGTCTGCTGTTTGTCTATCTGCATGATAAGCCTTCTATGTTAGTATAATTTGTTTGACTTTGCATGCATATTACAATCTTTTTAGGGAGTTTCAAGTTGTGTTTCCCTTCAAGACAGTCTTACCACAAATATACTTCCCAAACCAACAAAGCCACACTCACTGCCATCGAGTCGAATCAGACTCACAGCGACCCTATAGGACAGGGATTCTGAGACTATAGTGTTTTTATGGGAGTAGAAACCTCTTCGTTCTCCCTCAGAATGGTGGGTAGTTTAGGTTGTTGACCTTATAGCTGGCAGCCCAAGTCATAACCCACATGGGAGGCGCCAAGAACAAACATAGTCATCAGATGGATAGTTTTATTCTCCTTTTCAGTGTTTTCTTACCCGCTTGGCATCCATTGAAACTCAGCCCCGATCATCTTCAGCCATATGATGAATGGGATGGATGATTTTGTAGCCAAGGAATTCTCAGGAATTTAATAGTGTCCATGTTTGTGGCAGAAATATAGTTAGCCCACCCTCAGCAGTGAGCTTTTGGATTCTAACTGATTTGGCAGTTGTTTAATTACAAATGCTCTTTGTGCAAGACAATGCTTTCCACCCCAATTTGTTGAGTAGTGATGGGTATTAAAAAGTCGTGGGCAGACATCTAAGGTCCAACTGCTAGTCTCCTCGTCCAGAAGGAAGAAGAGTGATGGGAAGTGAGCGACAAATGAAAACAAATGGTCGTGTGGACAAATGAAACCTGGAAACACCAGTCTCCACCAACAGGAGCCCAGAGGAACTGGCTGGTACCCTGCTACCATTACTGACCACCTTAGATGGCCCTGGATAGAGTGGGAGAAAAATGTGGACCAAAGTTCAAAATCGTGAAAGAGACAAGGCTTATTGGTTGGCTAGAGACTGCTGGGCCTCCCAGGACCATAATCACCCTTCAAGTATGACAGGAACACACCCTTGTGTTAGACTAATCACCATTTAAGATCCAGGAGACATCATGTACCCCAGCAGGAAGGTTAGGAGAGGAAGAGTGATGGAAAAAGGACACAGGAGGACCGAGTGGGATAACTGATGGTCCGTTGATGGGATTGCAGTGGACGGACAGAAACAATGTGTGTCGCGTGTGAAATATAAATCTACTCTGTAAACTGGCATCCAACCAACAATAAAAAGTTCAAGTAAAAAAAAAAAAAGTTCAATAAAAGCCAACAAGACTGGGAATCCAGGACAGGTGACCCCTTCAGGACCACTGGTGAGAGTGGCGATACCTGGAGGGTGGAGGAAGGGTGGGGTGGAAAGGGGGAACCGATTACAAGGATCTACATATAACCTCCTCCCTAGGAGATGGACAACAGAAAAGTGGGTGAAGGGAGACATCGGACAGGGCAAGATATGACAAAATAATAATTTATAAATTATCAAGGGTTCATGACAGAGGGCGGAGTGGGGAAAATGAGCTGATATTAAGGGCTCAAGTAGAAAGCAAATGTTTTGAGAATGATGATGGCAACAAATGTACAAATGTGCTTGACACAATGGATGTATGTATGGATTGTGATAAGAATTGTATGAGCCCCCAATAAAATGATTAAAAAGAAAAAGCCCACAAGACTGTTAAAACAATTAGTGAATTTGATCACTCAAATGGGCCTTACCCTTTCACTGAGGAGTTAAGAGTCAGGCAAACTTGACTCTTTCCGTTCCCGGCCTGTGCACCTCACTGCCCGTCTGTCAGTGGAGGCCTGTCCTTGCGGTGCTGAGCTGGTTTCAGCAGAGCTTCCTGGGTGAAAACCCTGGGAGGGAAGGTCTGGTGATATTCTGAAAATCAGCCAGCCTGCGCCACAACCGCTCACAGGGATGACGCGGGACTGGCGGTGTTTGGCTCCCTTCAGTGAGCGATTCCGTGTCAGGCAACAACAACAGGTTTCCCCTGGCGCCCAAAGTGTGTCATTAAGTCTGTTGTAACTAGAAAGTTTCCGTGATTTATATAGGATTTTTTGTTTGTTTGCTTTTTGTGTATAAGAGATTTATATCCAAGAGCAATTGAACATTGAGAAAACATCCCAGCCCAGTCTAGATCAACTCCATAAGTCCAACATTAGCCCATATGTCCAACAGCAATCCATAAAGTCCTCTTCAGACTCACAAAACCCATGCAATGATGCCAAATGCAGGACGATCACAGGCCAGTGGGTAGAAAGTCTTTGGATCCAGTGGCATTGTAAGCATATATAGGTTTTTAAAAAAAATGTTCTCTGACACCCCCCCCCCCTCAATAACCTACCAAACCACAGCAAACAACATTAAAAAACCAAAAACTAAAATAGCACGTTCATGGATCCAGTTCAGAGCTCTGGCCCCTTGATCCTGAGAGGCGGATGGGGGCTCCTGGGGGCGGAGTTTGATGATGCCTCGCCTGCAGCCTGGGGAGTGTGCTGCCCATTCACAGCTCACCGCCAAACACCCCTAGTGTGCTATTTGCCTCTTCTCGTAAAAGTGAAGATCCTCTACTACAATTTCTTTCCATCAGCGAAGGCAGGTACTTTTGAAAAAGGGAATGGGCAGCAAGGGAACTTTGGGAAAGTGGGGTTGACCTGTGTCTCCAGGTAAATGGGATGCTGTTGACAGGGTTTCTGACCACGCTCTCTTTTTTCACAGTGTGGTGCTGCTGGCCTTTGCATCCCATCCCACAGGTAAGCATCCCTCCAGTGTTGCTTCCTTTATTCATTTGTTGTGATGTGAACCATCAGCTGCTCCTTGGGACAGAGAGGAGGCTGGCTGCCCCGTCAAGAGGGAGCAGTCTCAGAAACTAGCCCCGCATGAGGCCGCTCTGAGCCGGGCGCTGGCAGGTGTGCCCCAGAACCCGGTGAACGTGTTCAGTGTCACCCTATTTCTTGCTGACATAGTTATATACTTTTTTTTATTGTTTCACCCACATCATTCCCGATTAAAGAAGTCCAATTTTTTTGTTGTTTCTGTACCCATTTTCTGCTTTATTGATCTGTTTACTCTTTTTTTTCATGGATTTTTAAAAATCATTTTATTGGGGGCTCATACAACTCTTATCACACTCCATACATGCATCAATTGTGTCAAGCACATTTGTACATTCATTGCCCTCATCATTCTCAAAACACTTGCTCTCCACTTAAGCCTCTGGCATCGGGTCCTCATTTTTCCCCTCCTTCCCGGCTCCCCCTCCCTCATGAGCCCTTGATAGTTTATAAATTATTATTTTGCCCTATCTTGCCCTGTCCGGTGTCTCCCTAAAGAAGTCAATTTGTGAAGCATAGTATTGCCCGTGCCTGTTGCAGATTCAGGAACTACCCGTAATACTCTCGCCCACTGTAGACATTGCAGCTTCGAAAGGCATTGCAGTCGATGCCAGAGAGAAAACAGCACCCCCATTCTCACTCACTCTCACCCCCCCCACCCCCCCCAGTACCACAACTACTGTGAACAGATTACTTGCCCTGCTCAAAGTACAATGAGGTAGGTTCCAGCCAGATTGAGCCAAACTCTCGGGGCCTCCGTTTTCTCACCTGTGAAATGAGAAAGGGTGGTCTCGAGTACTTCTGACCCCCTCCTGGCTCTCACTTTCTCAGCTTCCTGACTCTGCTTCCGCCTGTGAGAGGGCGCTCATGTCCTCCGTGTGCTGCCTGTAGAGACTCAGATTGTGTAGGACACTCCAGAAGCGCATCTCACCAGGAGCATCACAGCGATGATGTGCTTCTTAACGCGCCCCTCCGTACGTGTCCACTGGTGTCGCAGATCTCCAGGGCTTACTGCTCTGCCCTCCCGGGTCTCAGATGTGGAAAGATGGTCTTTTGTCAAAGAATAAGTCACAAGCAGTCAGGCTGTGCACCCTAAACTGTTCCTGCGGACCCTTGTTGCTGTTCACCTCTAAACCAGGCCTCGGCTCCTTCCTTCATGCAGCCCCAGCTGGTCGCCGTCCTGTAGGTGTTGAAATATGGAGCTTCATATCCTCTGCCCATAGAGAAGTGCTCCGCTAAATCTTTGGGAAATTATACTCACCGGCTCTCCTGGATTTACATTCACTTACTTTCTGAATGATTTTCTTTCCAGTGGATTTAGGTGGATCATTTGGCGTAAAGAAATCACTTGACTTTTCAGCTAAGATAAGAGATTCACACACAGCTAAGAGGTTATGTGGGCTCATTTGTTGTAATTATGGTTATTAGCAATTAAGATGATGATAGTTTTGATTTTTAACAATTATCACGCTAACCCCAGATTTCACAGATGATGCCGTCAAAGCCCAGAGGCTTAAGTGATGTGACCCAAGAGGATGTTAAGTGGGTGGAGAAGCAGAGGGTGTTGGGAACTTAGGGTCTCTTAAACCCCTTTCTGTTTTTCTCTCTTTAAAAAAAAATGCTGCTATTTTCAGTGACCGTACACTTCATAAATTTCTTGTGCAAGTTCAGAGTTTTGTGCAAAGGTTTCCCTGGAGTTTCTCTGTGTTTAGCGGGCATTTTGTTCAACAGTATCCCAGCACAGTGGTCATAGTTTATACCTTTGGACTAACAGTCATATCTGGAGTTGTTGGCATGTTTTCAGGCCCATGCAGGAATGCCTTAGGCACTTCTTTCGCTCCGGGAGCCCCAACAGGGCAGCAGTCTGAAGTTGAAGAACGGCCTCCACGGAATAGGAATTTAGGAACGGGCTGTAGTTGCATCACTTACAGTTTCGGTGAGGAACATGTTCTGGAATTAGATGGCGATGGTTTCACAGCTCTTTGGATGTACTGTACATCACGGAACTGAACAATTTAGAAGCATGAGTTTTATGATGGGGGCTTTTATGGTGGGCAATTCCAACAAAGGTCAGGGGATAAGTGAAATATCGCTACGGAATCACAGAAACCTTTTTTAACTAAAGATATCAAAATGTGAAGTTCTCGTTTCCCTACATCTCCTCCTGGTAGGTCTGTACACCTCTGAGGGTGGGGTTTCCAGGTCTCTCGCCCTTCCCCGCTGCGTTCTGTCCTCAGCCGATGCTGCCGCAATCTAGCAGTGTGGCATCCTCAAAGGACCCAACCTGTGTTCCTTCAGAATGTTCTTTGAATTTGGGGAACAAAAGGCAGTGTGGAGGGGCAAGGTCGAGGCTGTAGGATGGATGAGATAAGCTCTCCCAAGGAAACTCCTGGGACAGCCCATGCTACCCTCGAAGCATGAGCAGGTTGCATTGTTGTGAGGCAAAACAAGACAAACTTCCCTGGTCTGTTTCTTCCTAATGCAGCATTCAATATTCTTAAAACGTCTTTATAATAAGCTCTCATGATTTTCCTGTCCTTCAAGAAAACTGCTCAAGATTAGCCCTTTGGAATTCCAAAAAACAGTCTCTGTAACCTCCTGAGCTGACCTCTCTGCCTGGAACTTCCTGGCCCAGCGATCCCCTCAGAAGTCACTGTGAAGGCACCCTTTGGAACCTAAGACATGACTGACAACGGGTTTGAAGCCACGCCCTGGGTGCAGAGAGATGTTTAAACAGGTTTTGTTCAGAATCAGCCCATGCATGCAGGAACTGGAGCACCAATAGCAATACTTTTTGACTTACTGGGCGGGGAGGGAAGAGGGGAAAAAAATCTCTGAATGGAGAGCCTCTTTGAAGCTCTATTATGCCACGAAAACATGATTTATCAGGTTTACGATTCCTTCGAATTATATTTGACGTTTGAAAACGTGGTCTTGAGGAGGTGCACTAGGAATAAAGCTAATCTGAACGTTCTTACACGGTATCTTTTGTAGACTTAGGTTTTTGTGTCTCTCAGATATCAGTATTTAGAAATATAATTGATGGGCCTCAGAGTAAGACTATGTTTAACTTTGAAAGAAACTGCCCCGTTTTCCAATGTGGTTGTGTTGTTTTACACTCCTACCCAACAGTGTATGGAGAGTTTCAGTTGCTCCATAGTCTCACATTCAACATTTGATGTTGTCAGTCTTACACTAGTCCCCGTAGTGTTTTTGGCCAAGCTGCCCTTCTTACTTGCCCATGAGTGATTAGAAAGATTGACTTTGTTATAGATGCAGATTATGTAGCTCTGGGACATAACCTTTAAGATGTGTTGGGCACAGGTGATCGGGTATCAGGTAGACAGTTCTCCATGTCTTAGGCAGGGACCCCAACACTGTTCTCTCTTTGAAGATTGGGTTGTGGTAGGTGGAATCCTGTACCCTTTTAGTTTTTCAGCCATGCAATTCACGCTCCAGGTATCTGGGGACCTTGCTTGGAAGAATACCATCCTTCTCTTCTGCTGTTTTAAGCGTTTGTGGAGAAGAGAAATTCTCTCCTTGTTTGAATGTGTACAGTTATTATTTTATGCCTATTGGGTATTTATATTCAGCTGTGATGTTCACCATGGCAGTTTCATACACTGCTATCTCCAGAGAAATGGGACGGACTTACTCCGTCGCCCAGCGTCAGCAGAATTGTAATGGTGCAAAGTAAGAATTAAGGCTCAATGCAGACTTTATGGATAAACTACCACACAGTAATACCACAAAACATGGTCATATCTTTTAACCTCTTATTTGCCCAGGAATGGTGCAGCTCTTCATGAAGTCCTGAAGGAGTGTTGTCCTTTGGATAGCCTTACAAGGGTTTTAAGCTCCTGGATTGAGCTTCATATGCTTGGGGCCAGACAGCCACCCCCACACGGCAATATCTCCAGGGGATATGTTGGAGGCATTAGTCTTTACCTTGATGAAGCTGATGTGACCCTCTCTGTTTAATAGTTCTACCTTAGCGGAAGAGTAGGAAGGTTGTTGGTTACCTTGAATGAGGACCAACAAACCCACCTGGAAACCATTTGGAACATCTCCCCATGGAAAGCAGAGATGTTTAGGCCATTCCCGTACTCTTACTTCAGCAGTGCTTGTTCTGTGTGTGGCATGGTGCTTGGTACAGGGCGTACAAATGATGAATCTCAGCTCTCAAGGATTTTATAGTTCTAGGAGGAGAGACAGGCATGGAGTCAACTAAGTGCGGTGCGAGAAATGTCTTGAAGTTTTTAGGAATGACCCAAAGATAGAGCATATTTGTGTTTTCCTCACCCCTATTCCCATTTCTTTCCCTCCTCTCAGTAATTTATGGATTTGACGGAATTATTTAAATCTAACTGATAAATTACTCAGGACCAGAATTTTAAAAACCACTTTGTTGACATATAATTCATGTCCCATACAATTATGGTTTAATTATATTAAAAAGACTTGTACAAACATCACCACACTCAATTTTAGAATATTTTCTTCATTCTTGTACCCATTATTATTAGCTTCCTTTTATGTCTCAACCCAACCCAATCCTAAGGAACTATTAATCTAGTTACTATCTCTGTATCTCTATAGATTTACTTATCACAGGACCAGGATTTTTTCTAATATGGTCCACCTCTGATCACGTCCTTTTTCTTGAGACCCACACTTTCTCTGGCCACTTTCCTCCTTCTTGGACTCCTTCAACGCCTGGGCTGGGTATAAAAGGAGGTGACAACCCCACGGGTCTTTTTCTCCACTGAGGAGCATTTCTGGGGAAGACTAGGTGTTAGGAGGCTGAGCCCCAGCTGATGGGGGTTCTGGATTTAACTCATCTTCCTTTCTGCTCGGTCCTCCTAGTCATGGACTGAACTGCAATTTCTTCCTCCCACTGACAGGAAGATTGGGAAAGGGACACGCACCAGTGTCACAGCTGCCACAGATGCAGCAGACTCTCCAGATGTCCTCATCCACCTGCTCACCACTCTCTCCCTGCGTTTGGGGTGCCAGTGGTTACCTCAGCTGCCACTTCCATAGGGAAAGGGACATTAGAATAAATCATGTTTATTATAAAGTTCCTCCACCAACCTAGGTCTCCATTGGGCAGGACTCTTATTTAGTGGAATTTTAACAGAGAGAGAACAAGAACTTAGCTCTTGTTTGGAATTTTCAATAACCAGATCCCAAAAACCCGCTCCTTTTAGTTAAACAAACACATATATGCAAAACTAAAAACAACAGACCCGATCAAAATACCAACGTTGCAGTGGAACGACATGTAGAACTTTCCATCCTAGTAGACAGGTCCATCGTTTTAAGAGCCCAGAGGAAGCATAGAGGCCATTGTGTCTGTGTTCAAAGCTCTTGACTCATCAGGGTCGCGAGGAAGGAAATCTGCCTCCGTGTCCCACCATCACACCTGCTGTCCTGGCCGTGCTCAGAGAAATCAGTCGTCTTCCCAGACCACCTGGAATCGAGACAGACCAAGCACCACGGTGTGGAGGCTGTGCTCCCTTGCTGTCTCCAAAGCCCCAGATTTGGAAGGAGTTGAAAGCTTAGGCCGTGGAAACACTTAATGCCTTTTCTCTGGACATTTTTGGAAGGCCTTCTGCTTTTCTAATCTCCTGATTTCTTGTTTGTGACCAAGTTCAAATTCCAGAGGGGGAAGCAGCCAATATGTGTGATTATTTCCGCTTGCACCAAGTGGAACTAAAAGAATGAACTTACTTCACTAGAAATAAATGTCCCCTTTGGGCCTTAGAATAAAGTGAGCATGCGTGGTCAGTCTGGTCGCTGCGCCTTTTGTGCAGCCATTAAACACAAGAATGAAAAAAGATGTCAGAGGAATGCATTCACAGTCTTTTTTTAGACACAAGGCAGAAAAAAAAAGCAGGAAAAAAAAAGAGCTTTAAAAAGAATCTTTTCCTCCATTCTCTCTTCTGCGGGGCCGGCTGCCCAGTGGAGAGGAACTGTCCCAGGATTTGGCCTGCCTGGAGATTACATTCTGGTTCCACAGCCTGAGTCGTGCTGTGGAGCTTTCCCTCTCTCGCATGTTTAAAAGATAATTTTATTCTGTTCTTGCTGTGGAGGATGTACCGTACACAGCAATAGACCCGCAAATCCAATAGCTTCTCCATCCACCGTTTGAAGACGTTGATGAAGCGTAATCATTCTCATCCCCCCCAGTCACACAAACCCAGTGCCCCCTAAGGTTTCTGTCTGATGTTTGAGATTGCTCTTAGGATTTTGATCCCATGCAGAGCACAACGCGCCGGGCAGATATTCTTTACTAGTTAAATGAAACTGTTACTGATTTTTAAGGAGACGTCAGCAGGTATTTTTAGTTTAAGGTTTAAAGATGATCAAAGGGCAATAGTGTCAGGGGTTCATCCAACCTTCATGGCTCTAGGAAGTCTGGAGTCCATGAGAAGCGGAACTTCTGTTCTGCTTTTCCTCCTTTTGGTTGGGATTTCTATGAGATCTTTGAGCAAAACTTTCAGTCTTTGTAGCCGGGCACCATCCAGTTCTTCTGGACTCATGGCAAAGGAGGCAGTTATCTTCGTCCTCCTATTCCTGTGTTGTTCCAGACACATAGAGGCCAATTATGCCTTACAAAGTGGCTGCCTATAAAACTCCGGGCAATACACCTCCAACACCCACCATGCTATTAGGTCATTTACGAAACCCTGATCTTAAATTTCCAAACGAAGGAAGCAAATCCCATGAGCTTTCTGGTGCACAATCAGCCAAAGCAGCTGCTCGCTCTTTTCTGTTACTGCCCATATGAGAGCAAGTAAACATGTATTGCTCCTGGGGTTCCAGCTGAGACCCACACAGGCTTATTTCTAGCAACATGTGTTTAAACATTCATATGTGATCAGTGCATAGCTGCAGGTAGTTCTCTCTAATACACTTGTCTTCATCTGGTTAGCACACCTTAAAAATGACAGTCCAAACAGTGGCTTCCTAGGGCATCTGCTGGGCCAGTTGAATTCAAGGCAGAGTTCCGTTCAGAAGGTTATTGCGGCAGCTGTTTCTTTGGGACTCCAAAGGACTAATCAATAGATTACCCCCCCCTCACCCCGAGGTCACAGGATGATCCTGGGGTGTCTTCTGAAGAAAGTTTAAGGAAATTCTAAACTGCATTGATGAGAAAAGGTCAGGAAAGTTGCACTAAGGAATGTTTTGCCCTTGGGAGGGTAGCCAGGGGCGTCCTACAAGAATTACTTTGGGAAATCCACTCCCACCCACCCTACAGTCCTGATCCTGCCCCTTCAGACAGAGTGAACCTTGCAAAGGAACGTTATTTGAGTCCCTTGAAGATGCCAAAGCTGTTCTGATGGGGTGTAAGTCAAAGAGCACAGCATTTTTCAGGGAAGAGTTAGAGAGATGGAAACAACACCTCTAGAAGTGGAGAGAGCTAAATGGAGAATGTGTCGAGAAAGAATAGCTTGGCATTTTGATACTTTGGTTTAATGAGCAGTTTCTATAATTTTATGAAATGTTTTTTGACTTAGCCTCAAATATTTACCAGTTCAGTTCTTCTAGGCACACAACTTGTCATAATTACCTGCGCAGCCCAACCCAGAACCAATCCCTATTTTCATTATTGTTAATTATCCTTTTCCTCTACTCTCCCACCCGCAGTAACCACTAATAAACTATTCTCTATGTATTTCTCTTTTTAGCTTCCTGTTATTTAAAAAATTTTTGACATTTACTTAACATATCTTACAATTCAATTGTTCAGTCGTACTATGAAGAATTGTGTACTCACACAATCGATTTGAGAACATTTTCTTCTTTTTTATACTTCTTGCTGTTAGCTTTCTATTTCCCACCAACCTCTCCTTCCATATCTCTAGGTAAGTATTATTCCAGTTATTGACTCTCTAGATTTATAGATCTGGATTTTATATATCCAAAAAACATTCAAGACAAACCCAAGAGCCAACGCCCCTCCCCCAACAACAACGACAAAATAAAACCGAGAGAAAGCTCAATTTTTAAAAAACATAAAATGCTAAAACTGCAACAAACTGAAATTAGATCAAAAAGGAGAACAAATGATGAGGTGACGCGTATTAGCCGGACTGGAGCTGCCATAATTGGCTTTCCGGTGTTCGCTGTCTGATGCCAAGGCTCTTCACATCACTGGACTCCGGTCAGAGGCCTCATCCTCACGGGGGCCCTGCAGATGGAATATGGGCTGCTTCTGAATCCATGGCCTTCTGTAAACCGGGTATTCAGAATTTAGGCTCTGATACTGTTTCTTCCTCCAGATTTGGAGTTTATTATTTATAATCCTTGGATCGCACAGGCTGGTATAGTTCTTCTGTGTGGACTTAGTTGATCCCGCATTCTTTTCATACATATATATATTCACCCTTATGTCACTGCAACACTCAGTGCAATATTTGTCCTTTTCATATATCTATATAAATAAGATATATGAAAAGGACAAATATTGTGTGACTTCATAGATGTACACCTACATCTATGAATCTATGTAATATATATATCATGTATATATACATCCATGAATGTATACTATATACATATACATCCTATATATATCTGGATATATACATATATGAAGTCATACAATATTTTTGTCTTCTGTAATTGGCTTATTTCACTCAGTCTATCTTCTAGCTCTACCCATATTATAACATGGATCAAGACTATGTTTCTCCTACTGGCTGAGCATCCCCTTGTCTGTATGTGGCTGTTTGTCCATTCCTTCCCTGATGGGCATTTCGGTGGTTTCCACCTTCTGGGTGTTGGGACAAGAGTTGCCGTGAACATTGGTGTACCAGCATTCTCTGCTTACATGTCTGTTTCCATGTCTTTGGGGCAGATAGCTAGGAGTGAAATTGCGAAGATCATATAGTAGTTCAGTGTTCGACTTCTTCAGGAACTGCTACCCTGTTTTACCACAACAGGGGTACCAGTTTGCAACCCCACCACAGTTAGCAAGGGTGCCATCTTAGACCTCATGACTTCTCTGAGCAATAGTGAAAATGGGGGCACAAAACCTCCCAGAGGGATTGTGAGACTGGAAAGAGTGTGGAGATATATATCTATATATATCATCTATATCTCTATATCTATCTTTCTCTGTCTCTATATCTCTGTATATCTTTTATTATAGGGCCTGGCACAGGGCAGCCTCTCACTTAAACCCCAACCAAATCATTGCTGTTGAGTTGCTGGTTCACGGAGCCCCATGTGTCCTAGAGAATGGCTCCCTAATAGATTCTTCCAGAAGTCGACCCCCAGGTTTTTCTTCCAAGGTACCTCTGGGTAGACTTAAACGGCCCATGTTTTGTTTAGTGGGTAAGCACTTAACCATTTACACCACGGAGGAATTCACTATATACCACTGAGGAATTCATGATACGATCATACCAGCACCATGATAAGACTAAGCCAGGATCAGCTGGAGAAACCCGGAGTTAACTGGGGACAACTTGGTTGAAATCTCTTTCCATTGCCTGGAGCTGCCAAGACTGGGGGGGTGTCGTGTGGGGGCTTCTTGTGCCATTGCCTCACCTGTTACTCTGCCCTGCAGGTGATCTCTTCAGTGCCCTGGAGTTCCCGTTGCTGTACTTCTACAGATTCCATAGCAGCTGCTGGGCCAGGTAATCTTTAGCTGCAGAACCCACTGCTTTATTAATTTGTGTGTCTCTCTGCTGAGTGGTCCTGCCAGTAAATCCTGTCATGTCCTGTCACAGGGGTGATGTGTGTGCTCTGTGGAGGTTGCAGGGAAGCAGCTTACTTGTCTGCCAGCTTGTTGTTACTGAGGACCCTGCTGTGCTGGATTCTGTGAGGACCCCTGCCCTGCAGAGGTCCCCCAGCTAGGGGAGTGGTTTCAAACCTGGCTGAAGACCAAGAGTTTTCCCCTTTTTTGTTTCCACAAGAAGGTCTGACACAGAGCGTCCTGACTTGGCATCTCCCCGCTCTGCTTCCCTCTGTCTCCGAAAGGCAACCTCTGAAGAGCCCTAACCCTCCGAGGAGCAGATGGGAAACATCTAGGCCAGCAGATGCCTAGCCCACATGACGGTGGTTCATGCTTGGCCTTGGGAAGTACTCAGTGATGTAGGCCCATCAGAAGGATAGATTTAGGTCGCCCTTTTCTTTCATTGACAACCCCCCCCACCCCCCCACCCC